GAACTCACATATGAGCGGTCGGTGTTCTGTGCCACACTCGGCCCCTGCCCTTGTTTTAGCTGCTGGTAGCGACCTTCTCCAGCATCTTTCCACAGATGTCGTCGATTTGACTTGTGTGTATTCCATCTGGAAAAGTCCACGTGTACAGTCACTATTTTTATTGTTGAAAAGGGGTATTTGTGATAAAGTCGTTAGTCCTGCAAAATGCTATCATAGGATCTCCATCCTCATGTCTGTGACCAAGCCCATGCTTTGCAACGACTGTGCTTTCCTGCGTTTCCAACGACTGGCATTCCAATTCCCAACAATTATCAGTGCACCTTGATTGCATGTTTGATCCATTTTCAGACTGAAGATGTTGGTCGAATTCTTCAATTTGTTCATTACTACTTTTAGTAGTTGGTGCATACATTTGAGTAATAGTTGTACTGATTGGATTTCCTTGAGTGAGGATGGATATAATTCTATCAGACAGAACTGTACTTCAATATTGGTCTTGAAATGTCCTTTTTTGAAGAATGTAACGCCATTCTTCATGATCGTGTCATTTCTGGCTTAGTAAACCATATCGTTTTCTGGTCCACAATGGCCAGCACCAGCCTGTGTCAGCTCACTACTGCCTGGAATCTTTATGCATTCCATGTCATTTTTGACTTCTAGTTTTCCTAGATTTGTGCTTTGTACCTGTCAAGTTCCGATTATTTGTAGACTTGTCACCGTGTCTTCTTGTTTTGAGTTGCGCCCCAGCAGCAAATGAAGGCCCAGAAGGCTTGACTCCCACAGGCTTTGCCCCCTCGTAGTCAGGAGGGTCGACTCTCCTCGGAGGAGGCAGCTCTTCCTCAGTCGTAGTTTGATGCCTTCCAACGTGAGGGGCTCCTCTTCTGGCATTGTCTCTGACCACGTTCATCTGCTTCTATTCATTAGGCCTTCCGTCTCTGACGATGTTTCGATGCTCTGCATAAAGTTTCCAGCAGCTAATTCCTCCAAGTTGTCGGTCTAGTCCTTCTTCATGGTCTGTCCTTCGTCTGAAAGCTCAGCTGAAATCTATTCACTTTGGGTAGCCTTGCTTGTACCGTTTCCCCGAAAATAAGACAGTGTCTTATATTAATTAGATGCGCTAGATCTTATTGTCAGGGGATAGCTTATTTTTTCCATGAAGAAGAATACGGTACACATTTATTGATGAACAACAAAAAGGAAATTTATTACCTGTATACAGTACGGTAGTAGTTGTCATCACAAACCAGCATAACCAGACAAACTGAATCCTACAGTATCAAGAATTTCTTGTTACTACCATTATTTCCATGTACAATAATCTATGGTACATTTACTCACACTTCCTGTCTGCTCCAGCTGCGCTGCGGCTAACAGTGAAATGCGAGGCAGCGCCTGCCGCTACAGTCCAGAGTTATGGTACTCGGGGGGCCTTATGTTTGGGGAGATCTTATTTTCGGGGGATGCCTTCTATTTCAGCAAGTGGCAAAACTGTAAGTAGGTCTTATTTTCGGGGATGTCTTACTTTCGGGGAAACACGGATTTATAAGTATCATATAGGAATGCCTTAATATACATACCAGGGGCATAGTTTCCATGATCACAGTAACATACAAGCTACCAAGTAACACAAACCAACAGACAAGTGATGCTTAGTGGATAGCCTGGTAGGCTGATGTAAGGAGCTGAAGGCTGAAAGTTTGATATTTTTCACCACAGATCTGCTAAGCCTCAGATGATCAGCTTCAGGATTGTCAGCAAACTACCGTGAGCCCATTTTCTCTAGCAAAACTGGTTAGAATCTACTCAAATTAGACTTGACTACCTTGCTGGGCTGTTATGTTAGGCCTTGGGAAAAGCTCTCCATCCTTTCTGGTACACTCTAGAAGTGCCCGGGGCAGGAAGTGCAGACAACTGCCGTTTGATAAATATTGCCCAGTGCACACAGTTGGAACTTTTGAATCTTTGAAACTGCATTGGGACACTATTTAAATGAGATGTTTTCATTTAACTTTCAAAGCTAGTTCTTTCCAGAATAAGGGAGTAAACGTTATTTTCAATAAATTACTCTTTTGACTGAAGGCTGACAACTCCTTTTCCATGAGGAGCTAGGAAATGGGAGTTTCCAAGAACTCAGGCAGCAAGGCAGCTGAGTGGAATTTTCTCTCAGGTTGTCTTTTTGTCAAAAGCATTTGCCTTTCCCACCATCTTCAAAGCATCTCAAAGGGGGTGTCCTCTAATGTTCAGTAAGGACCGGATGAGTTGCTTAGGGTTTAGTGACTGAGATTGTCTCAGCAGTCAAGTTCCTGCCATCCAAGATCTGCACAGGACTCGTCCTGGTGAATAGAGAGACATTGTTCCTGGCCAGAAAGAGTTCGGATGGCACAGTGGGTAGGTGCTCAGCTGCTAGCCAGTCGGTGCCTTGAACCGACCAACCACTTTCTGGGGGAAAGCTGCAATGTCTGCGTCTTGCAGTCTGCAAAGACTACAGCCGTGGAAACCCTGTGAGCAGTTCCACTCTCTCAAGGGTTGCTCTGAATTGGGATAGACTGGGGCGCCAGAGGCTTTGCTTGTGGTCCTGGCCCCCAGCAGGGCTCAGCTCCCACCCTCGTGCACAAAAGGGTTCATTTCGCCCACAGTGGCCTTGTGCCGCCCCAGGTACAAGGCACACGATGTATGCCCTTTTCTTCACCGTCCACTTCTAACGCTGGTGTCATGGCAACGTCTACCTCTGGCTCAGGCTGCCATAACCCAGCTCACTGCCGAGTCAGTGCCGGCTCACAGTGATCCTACAGGATGGGGTAGAACTGTCCCTGTGGGTTTCTGAAACTGTTACTCTTTAAGGCAGTAGAAAGCCCTATCTTTTTCAGAGATGGCTGGTAGTTTCGAAGTTAGCAGCCCAACGCATAAACACTCAGCCACCAGGGATCCTGTGGTAGGAGCCTAGATTTCACAATGTATTTATAGTTTTACCTTTACTTTTTTTTAAATAATAGGCCACACAGTCCTTGAGAAGGGCTGTTACAAAAACAAATCACTATGTAAAACCGTGATTGAGAATCCCTGTCATCAATGCCTTTTAAAGGCGTATTGTCACAAACGTGAATCCTGTTATACATGTTATCCTTTAGATTAAAAGAATACATCAAAGTTTACACAGTTAAAAAGCTATGCCTTACACAAATGTGTACTAACCTCAAATCGATTCATTTCAAAAGCTAGTTGTTCCTTGCTAGTTTTTAGATTCCCTAATCTCTAAATTTCCACTTTTCCCAAATCTCTCATTTCCAATACCCATTCTCTATTTTCGAGGATCTCCAAGTTTGCTCCTGACTTAACCCAGCCGTTGCCACAGAAGCCACCAACTATGCACTGAAACCAACTGAGATTAGTTTGATGAGTTCTCTATACTTGTACTTTTTCCCCTTGAGTATTTTAGAACCAAACCCAGAAACCAAACCAATCCCACTGCCATCAAGTAGATTTCAACTCATGGTGACCCCATACCCGGTTTCCAAGGCTTTCTCAATCTTTCTTGGTGGTGCCAGCCTCTTCTTTCTCACCTATTTAGACAACTAAATGCACACTTAAGATAGTTAACGGTGGGGTTAATTGAAGGGCGGAGAGATAATTGGCTAGGTGAGCCTTGCCTTTCTAGTTCTTGGTCTCCTGCTCTTTGATGGTTGGACCAGGGTGTAGCTGCCTTAGGCAGTTCCCTGCCTCAGCTGGCAAGGTTCACTTCCTGCAAAACATCCCCCAGGTGAGGCCACATGGACCTACCCCAATGCAGCCCTGGGGAGACCCCTGCCAGCGCTGAGATGTTTACACATTCACTGACTCGGCTTTCCTCCTGCAGTTGGCATCATTGCGTGTGTTTTGTGAGATGGAGGAGGACTTTGTGGATTGGTGTTGGACATATGGGTTACTGTTGGCCTTGTGGGCTTGGGCAGCACTGGGTTGGGATGTTTTCTTGATGTGCACTTACCCTTTATATAAAACTCTTATACATGAGTTTCTGTGGATCTGTTTCTCTAAAGTACCCAGACTCACACAACACTGTTCATAAGTTGAGACATTTCTTCCAGAGCAGGTCTTCTCAACTTCTGACTGTAGCAACAGAATACATTTAACAAGACAACTTTTAGGGGTATCCACTTAGTGATATCAATTTACACTATATTACTCACGTTGTATAACCAGCATTCGTTATCCATGCCAAATTTCCCATCACCATACTCACTGCTTTCTAAACAGTGATCCCCTTTGCCTCCTTCCACTTGCCCCTGGGAACCACCAATAAACTTTGACCTCTACGCAGGCGCCTCGTCTTCGCTCACAGGAGTGAGATCACCCATCTGTCCTTTGGGGAGTGGTTTGTTCACACCACTTTGTTTTCGGGGTTCTCCATGTTGCCCTTGGCATCAGGAGTTCATTTCTCTTTATGGACGAGCATCATTGTACCTTGTGAATCCAATTCTGTCTTCCCTTCATCTGCTGATGGGCACTGGGGTTGTTCCCACCTGCTGGCTGCTGTGCTTGGTGCCGCAGTGAACACCGGTGTTGACAAGCCTCGTGGGTGTTGCTTTCAAACTTTGTGTGGTCAACTTTTTAAAGAGGCCAAGTGCCTCCTTTTCGAATAATCATATGAATCTCGTGCTATGTTGAAAATAGGTTGTTTTTTTCTCGTTTTCAAGTATAAAGAATACTAAGTACAAGTCGACCTCAAAATGTTTGTGGGAAAATGGACTTAAAGGATAACGGCATTTCCCAACAAACTTCCCACCAACTTTGGGAGTCCTCTCGTGTGCTCTTTCCAACTAGAAAGGGGCCCTGGAGTCCGACAACGTCCCCAAAGCCGCGGACCAACAGCCCCACCAGCGGCACCCCATCGAAGTAAACGGGCTGCCCACTCCACACCCTCCAGCAATCCTTCCTCCGGCCTCCGGGCCTCTCGGGTTGCCATAGCAGGGATCTGGAGCACCCTGTACATAAAGGGGAATGGCTTCGTTAACAAAAGTCTTTATTAAATGATAGATTTACAGTATAAGAATCACCGAGGTACAAACGAGTGACGGAATCATGCATACAAAGGACTTCAGACGACATGTGACAATTTGCTTAGCTTTTCATCTGGAGGATTTTCTATCGGTGACTGAAATGATAAACTCCAGCCTGCTTCTGAATCTAGTCCTGCCTGATGGCCGTGCCTGAGGTAAGCCAGTGTCCACTGCCAACATCTCTGAATGTAAACCAAGCCCTCGGTTATTTATGGTCCCACATACAAGAGTGACATTCAAATTTTAAAGAGATATTACATATTTCATTCAAAAATGGAAATGTGCCCTTATAAGACGTCAGTGTGTACATGGCTTTTTGATCACCAGCAGTGCCTCTCAAAGTCCTCTGGCTTAAGGGTTCCTCTTGTATCATCAAAGTCTGCACAGATTCAGCCTCCTTTGCGGACAAACACGTTCACTACCACCCTTCTCACTCCCCACTGTGGAAAATCACTGACGGGAAATGCTGTCAGCCTACTGGTGTCTGTGCAGAGTTTTATTCTGAACATACCACAGCTGTCTTGCTAATCAGGCACTGTCTACTTTAACGGTCAGATGTTTTCAGTGCAATGAGTCTACGTTCGAAAAACATCTTCAATAAACATCAACGTAGCATTTGAGAGAGCGCATTGTAACGGCTCTGACAATTGTTCTCGTCCAAGAGTAAAGGTGAAGTTCAATAAGAGCCCAAATAAGTCGGGGTTGGCCCTTCCTAGCTCGTCTGGTCATTGCACAAGACAAGGCCGCGTGGCGGTGAAGCAATGCCACCTTTTAAAAGATACTTTTGGTATCCCTCCCAAAGCTTGTCTCTTCATGCTTATTTCCCATTCTTTAGGTGATAAAATCAGCTTTCTTTTACTTACAGCAGCATTAAAAGAATTATTTCTTTCTCAAACTTTTAATTAAATCTTCCTGCAGAAACCAAAATGGTCTGAGAAAAAAAAGGACATTGTTTTCTAGTTTCAAAGTTCAACTTTAGACTGTCATTTAGACAGTCTACCTAAACAAATGGTTATGTGGAAAATAGCTAGTTAAAACACACACACACACACACACACACACATTTTATACGGATTACAAATGTGTTTTTGGTGTTAGGTGTTTTGTTTAGTTGTTTAAGCAGTGGCGTTTTTTCCTGCCTACCTACATCATTCTAGCTGAAGGAATGCAGGGCCCATGGCGACCCAGACTCGTAATTATTTTTCAGAAGAACGTACTGGGTACAAAAATGCTCTTTCGTTTCTCACACATCTGTTGTTGGTGCTTGGGAGCCTTCAGATATTCCCTAAAAAGAACATATTTCAGATCTGATCAAGCCCATGAGGCTAGAGGACAGCTTTTATTAACAATGGTAGAAACAACTGAAGGGCTAGGTGTCGTGCACAAACTCACATTCCTACAAAACACATAAATCAGTGGCACATTTTGATGACAATGGAACAATAAAACAATAAATAAGGTATCTCATATCTCATACATGCAATATTAAGCCAAAAGACGCCCCAGTAGATGTGTCATCTCCTCACGGCTTGAGGAACAGGGAGGTCTTGAACACCGCCGTGCTTCTCCGTCCCGGTTCCCAGGAGATCCTCTGAAAGGAAAAGAGAGCGAGTCGAAAGGCAGGGAAGCAGACCTATCAACATGCACTTGGGTTGGTTACTTATGGACATGATGAAGCCCCTGAGTGTCGTAGGACAATGGGAACACAGCCCATCCTTTTTAAACACTGCTGAAGAAATCAATCAGGGGCCCTGGTGGCACGGTCAGGTAAGCATTAGACTATTAACCCCAAGGTTAGCAGTTCAAACCCATCAACTACTCCGTAGGAGAAAGAGTCTCTATCTGCTGCACTCACCATGTACAGCCTCAGAAACCCCAGGTAGTGGAATCAACTCAATGACAGTGGGTACCGAAGAAATAAAAAAGGCTCAGCACTAGGGCTTCATTCTAAGTATTTCTTGTGCTA